GCTACCTCCACCAGCAGCACCACTTCTTCCTCCTTTACCATTGGCGCTGGTACCATCACTTCCTCCACCACTTCCGCCGCTTCCACCAGCACCACCACTACCTTTACCGGTGCTTGCACTAGTACCGCTACTACTATCACTGGAACTTCCACCTCTACCTCCACCAGCACCACCACTACCTTTTCCGGTGTTTGAACTAGTACCGCTGCTACTACCGTTGGAACTTCCACCGCTACCTCCACCAGCACCACCACTATTTCCTCCTTTACCATTGGCGCTGGCACTACCACCACTGCCTCCACCTCCCATTCCACTAAATAGCTTGCAGAGAGAGAATACTAAGCCAATTGCTGCTAATACAAGTCCAACAGGGTTTGTAGCGGTTAATAGTAGAGCAATTCCACTAATTATATCAATAGCTGTTTTGACAGATTCCGGCAAATTAGGTATAAGTTCACTGAGCAATGTTAATGCAGCTGATGCAATTGAACTAATCTGCGCCGCTTTCGAAGCTAGTGTTGTTGCTTTCATCAGAGCTGACACACCTTGTTGAATTTGTTGAATATTTTTGTAGACAGTTTTAGCTTTTTGAACCATATCGACTACTTCTTTACTGACACCCATGGCAGTCATTGCAGTATCAATAAGATCGAGATATTGGTCACCTGACAGACGCTTTCCGTTTATTAATGCTGACACCAAAGGTTTAGCACCATCTCTAAACTGCTCCATGTCGTTTTCAGTTTTTGTCTCTCACGTTAAGGGCACCCCCCCCTTTCCGGCGTTTTTGGAGAACGGTACATCAGAAAATTTTGAAACTTTCTGGGCAGATAGATCTAGAGGAGTAGAGCAAATATCTTGCTAGACTTAGAATTCTCAGATGCTGTCTTCAGTAAGATTTTAGGGTCTCAAGATGTAACAACGTCTCCCCTTTTCGCCCCCGTTTCTCCGCCATGATACGTTCGATCGAGCTGAAATTTTTTCTGTAGGTACTAGACATTGTTTGGGGTGCGTAATTATTTTTATTTCTTTCAATCTTCT